ACACACACACACACACACACACACACACACACACACACACACACACATATATATATAATACAGGATCCTATATTCTCTTTCAATGAAGTAGAGCAAAACCTTGCTTTAAAGACTTTTTTTTTTTCTGACAAGGTTTGTCTCATGCATAGGATGAGATTCTAGGAGAGTCTGATAGATATAATCACAAAGATAACTTATTACTTGCTCTTTTTGAGAGCCCTGGAAATAGCAGCTCCTGGATCCTTCCCCAACCATTGTCCTTACTTTCAGCCCAGCCCTGGCAACAATTATCCAGTGGAGCTGTCCTTACGGAGAAGGGACCCACTATCCTTTCTTCCACTACCAGTGAGCAAATCAATCAGCAAGCATTTATGAAGTGCCTACTACTCAGCCACTGTACCAAGTGCTGAGGATATAAAGGCAAAAACGGTCTATCCTCTCATTCTACTGATGTAAATAACATGTAAATAACTACATACATACAAGATATATACAGAATCAATGGAAGGTAATTTCATAGGGGAGGGGGCACTAGCTATTTGGGAGACTAGGAAAGATCTCCTACAAAAGATGGGATTCAAGTTGTTTCTTGAAGGGAAGTCAGAGATATGCAGGAGAAAAAGAATAGAAGGGAGAACATTTCAGGCATGGAGAAGAGCCAGTGCAATGTCATGGAAACCAGAGACTGAGTTTCGTGTGTGAGGAACAGTAAGCATGCTGATGTAATTGGATCACAGAGCACATGGAAGAGAATGACAAATAAGATAATTCAAAAGTTAGGAAGGGTCCAAGTTGTGAGAGCTTTAAATTCCAGATGGCTTTAGGGAAATAAGCCTGGTATCTACCTCTTCAGGGGCTACATCTTCTGCTTCCTCATTAGCAACAGCTACTGAAGACCTAGAAAAGAGCATTCTCACCACCAAATTCCTTGGCACCACGAAATGGTTCAGCTCATAGGTTCTTCTCAATTGAAATGACACTGAAGAAGGTGCATTACCATCTACTTTGATGTTGAACCTAAGGGCAAAAAGGCCTTTCTATGTGCCCTTAAGCTGAAACTTATTTGATTTATCTTCTCTCATGAGAACGTGAGCTCCTAGATAACAGGGACTATCTTGCTTTTCTGTTTACATTGCCAGCATTTAGCCTAGTGTTTGAAACATACTAAGTGCTTATTGCTTTTTGTGAATTTTTTCATTCATCATTAATATTTAGCATATTGTACGTAAGGAAACAGTTTCCATTTGAGTATTTTAGCAACTGTTTTCAGGGTCCTTACTTTCCATTTCAAAGTTGTAATGATGGTGATTGAAATGGCCTCAGAACAAATGTGGAATTGCCAGATGCTGTTGCAGTCTAATGTTATTGTCAAATTATCGTGCACAGGAAATGCTGTTATTCCTCATTCCACTGAATTGATCACTTGCCACTCTAGTCCATTAAGATTGGGGGTAAAACAGGGAAAATTATGAGAAGAGAAGCTACATTTGTGTCAATAAGGTAGATTCAAGAAATGTTGATAAACAAAAACAAATGTAAATATTCCAAATGTTATGTTGTTGTTTTCTTTTTCTTTCTTTCTTTCTTTTTTTTTTTAATCCTCTAAAGGTCATATTTGCAGTAAAGCATTCCAAGAACTGTTTGTGTGTCTTTCATTAGAATTAATTGTCTTCACATAACTAAATCCATATTCATTATTTTGGAAATGCATTCCAGTGTCTTGGAGGATACAATACCAAATGTAATCCTAGCAAGCCAGCTTCCGGTAGTAATTTCAAAAGAAAGCTCATCCATTTTTCTTTCTCCTCTCACTTGCAGGGACCAGATAACTGCACTAAGTGTTCTCATTTTAAGGATGGTCCAAACTGTGTGGAAAAATGTCCTGATGGATTACAGGGGGCCAATAGCTTTATATTCAAATATGCTGACCAGGACCGTGAATGTCACCCCTGTCACCCAAACTGCACCCAAGGGTAAGTTTTCCCAAAGGCAAAATTTGACTTGTAAATGTGGAAGACCAGATTTGGGCTTTAAATTGGTCAGAAGAAACACTTTTTACTCATTTTGCAATGCTTTTCACCGTAGGCCCTATTATTATTTTATGTCTGATGCTTTGAGTTCAGAGAGACATTGAAGTGAGACAATACGTCAACTTATTTTTCATTCCATGAAAATCAATGTAAGTCCAACACAACTTGGAACTTTCAAGAATGTGATAGAATTGTTCTTCTTTATGCAATGATGTAACAATAGTCTTTTTTAATATATAGTTTAAATAGTGGCTTAAGACGACAGATGTAGCATAAAATGGAAAAATTGGCATTAGATTCATTTGATTGGTCCTTGAAATGGGACCAATAAATAAAAATCTCCCATCATGGGAGGTTTTCCTGCTAAAACTGGAGAATATTTTTGCTAAGGAAATTGTGGAGGGGATATTATCCTTAGATGAGTTTGGAATGCAAGGGCTGCTGAGTTCCTTTCCAGTTCTGAGTTGACAATAATATTTTTGTAATGTTGATTTTTTTTTGACCAGTCTTGGCAAAAGGATACAATTTCCTTTTTTGTCATAGATGTTTTTCAGTGAAGACTATCCCTTTGATCGAGAGCTTTGACCAACTCCTTTATAACAAGTGGGAATGACAGATGAAACAGAGAAATTTGACAAAACAGAAATGTTAAAAAAAAAAAACTGACCCAGACATATATATTATTATATATACATATACTTTAATCTCATATTATCTTATAACCTTGAATTCTTTTTTAGTGATATATTAAGCTTAGAGATGTGTCTTTCTCTTTTCTCATTTGGTCAATGAGATTTATTTTACAGTGACTTTCAGGTTCTCACACATTTCCTGAAGAATCTATGTTACTCCCTTTTGGGAAGACTGAAGATGTAGCCATACCCAAGCTTTGTTTAAGGAATTTTCTAAACTTCAACTAGGGGGCAAAGATCCAGAAAGACAATGAGGAACTTGACCACAAAACCACTTCCAAGAAAGCAGAAAAAAGAAAAAGATATATATTGAAGAAAAGAAAAATCAGAAGAAAATTTGGAGAATTCATTTCACTCACCTATTAAAAAGCAACAGTTTATAGGACTTTTTATTTTTAGTAGTGTCTTTTCCCTATTTCCTTCTAAAACCAATTTGTTCTAGAACCGAGAATTTTTTTCCCCCTGCGCTATAATACAAAGTCCTCCTCCTGCTGTGGTGGACTCGTTATCTTTGGCAGGTAAGTATGAAAATCCATCAAGCACTTCTCTGCCAGTTTAGTGACCAGCTGGTAAGGGGACATTGCAGAAGCTAATAAACCAACATCATCTACTGCCAGAGGAAATAGCATCCTTTTTGAGGTGTTTCTACCATTTCCTGTAGGATGAGCCATCAGCGCCTTAAGCTCTTTTTCTCAGTGGCAGTCTTTATAAGGTGGGGTAATAAAAACCCTGCCATTCAAGTTCAATTCAGTCAAGCTACCTTTGTCAGTTCGTTGATTAATGTGTGCTAGCACAGAGACCTGTGGAGACTGAAATCGTCATAAAGAGGCATTTCATTGAGGAAGCTAAGAAGCGACAAATGGGTGCTAGCATGGATGTATGTTTTGTGAGTGTGCATTTCACTTGAGTTAAAATCTTTCATGAAGAACAACTGGTACCTTTGGAAAGGGAAGAAGCGTCACCAGAGGGTGGGGGGAGGGGAGAAGGAACTTTGCTTGCTAAAATAATCATCCACAAGAGGGTTTTATTGTTTTGCAGCTAAAATTAAACCAGTAAATTATTCAATATAATGTTGATGTCAACAGCTGTTGCCATTCAAAATGAGACCTTTTGCTGCTTTTGCAAATCTAATTACAATGGAGCCATTAGGGAAATGAAAGTGAGATCACAGAGACACAGTCTGGATCTGTTGCTGATGTGTCTTCCTCCCAGCTCCTTTAAATCACAGTTATGTAATAAAGGGAAATATGTAGAGGTGGGAAGATAGAAGTAGGAAACTGTGAAAAAGAGATCGTTTTCTCTGAACGGCAAGATCTTGGATCTTGGCCAGGTGGGAGGATGAAGGTGTATTACAGAACAAATCCCAAAAGCTCACCTGGGAACCGTAAGCAAATAGAAAGGAACCAGTCTTCAGCAGTGTGAGGCTACAGAGCTGTGGGCAGATAAAATTGGAATGCATCATGTTCAGGGGCATATGTCTAAGTAGAGTCTCTAATGATTGATTCAACTCTGTGTGTTTTTCATTTGCATTTTAGCCTTAGGCTCCCCCTTCTTCCAGCAGCCTCTCTGGTCCCTAGGATCACTGAAGTCAGACAAGTGAATGAAGCCCCAGTCTATGATTTTTAGACTTAGGAGTTCCCATTTCTGCCGTATTACTGGCCAACACTTTACTTTGAAAGTACATTATTTAGAGAATCTTTCTTTTGCAAATTGAGTATACAAAAGCCATGCCAGCCCATGTTAAAATCACAGAGCCTTTGGTCAGGTGATGCAACTAATGACTATTTTCATTTTGAAATGTGTTTAATGACATGCGTATATTTACCTGATCTTAGAGATTCAAGTATAGGTTTTCTAGGCCAGCTTCCCCTATAGCCACCAGCATCTCTATTATAAGTCTCAAAAGTGCCAGTCTAATAATCCAAGAACTAAGTTAATTCTAATGGCCTTTTCATCACATTTTAGAAAGAAAGTACTTATCTTTAATTTTGTTAATGAGACCCAAAAACCAAAATCATCTGCATGAAATCTAAAAAGCACTTACTCCACTGAAGTTATGTTGAATATGATGGTCATAATGAGTACCTCAGATGAAATACATATATTTAAATTCATCAAAATGTATGATTACATTGATAAAGTACTCTTTTTACTAACCCAGATGTTAGCTTTCCATGCTTTAGTTGGTGGTTTCATGAACAAAAAGTTCATCACCAAGACCTGAGCCTTCCCTAATTTATCTAGGCTGGCCTTTGAATTTGTATAAATGAATGAATGCAGACATACATACATGCAGACATACATACATGCAAACAATCATCAAGCCCTCCTCTGAAATGTTTCTGACTTGATAGTACCTATCAGCATTTGTCCTTTACTTAGATGTACCCAGTATCACCTACATATCACATAGAAGCATCCTGGTGAGGAATTTAGTATATATTTCCAGTGTCATGGAGGACCTGTGTATTTTCAGTGTCATAGAAGAATTACTGCACAAAGTCCAAATGGAAGAAAGATTTCCCATGGGTAATAATAACAACTAACAGTTATAGAGATCTTTAACTTTTGTCAAGTAAAATATATGCCACACATATGTATATATACACACACATATATTCATTTATAAACATGAATATATATGCAAATATATTAATGTATTATATGTCATCTGTACATATGGGTGTTACACATACATAGAGATATTTCTATGAATTATACGGATATAACTATAGATGTAGATAACTATTGTGATCCTCAAAATAACCCTGTGAAGTAGGTACTGTAATTATCTCTGTCTTACAGGTGAGGAAACTGAGGCTGAAAGTTTAAGTGACTTGTCCAGTATCACACATGTCATAAATATTTTGAGTTTGAACTCAGGCTTCCTGACTCTAAGTCTAATGCTCTGTCCAGTAGTCTACCTTGTTCTTTATAAATGCCAATAGATGGTGAAGATGTCAAGGTACTCTGGCTTATGGATGACATTGCACTAATTACATAAAAATCCAGAAGACTATAAATCCTTCTCACTGAGATTCATGATCCCTCAAAAGTGATTGCCCTAATAATCTTCCCAGGATAAATTAAGCCGATGAAAAATACATATAATTCATATTATGATAAGCAACCAAGTGAGTGGATAATTGGTTTCAACTCATAGGTACATGTACTTTGGATAGGTAGAGCTTTTGAATACTGAGCTGGGATGAGAATGTAATAGGAACAAAGAAGGCACGATATTACATTGGAGAAATTACATGACTTTCAATGATAACAAACTGCTTTTCGAAAAAAATATCTTTCAAACAATATTTGTAATAATAATTTTATAGGGCTATGAATCATATAAAACTTTGATCTCAGAAGAATCAAAATTGTAGTTTAACCCAAAGATAAACAAAAAGACACAGTGGGTATACATGGGCTGTAGCATTATTGCTGACAATAACATGGTCACAAGAAATGGCATAGAATGTATCATCTGTACATACTTTTGTCAGAATTCTTCAAGGATATGTCATTTCTTCAGTGTCCATGATCCTTCCAAGGCCAGGTAATTTCCTCTATGGACAAAGCAGTCATCACTAGAGCCAATCTGTTGATGAGTCTCTGAATTTATTTAGGCTGGGCCTCAGAGGATAACAATATAGACCTGTTACATCCAAGCTGTGAGTCAAAGCCTTTCTAGCTTAGTCAAACTTTCCAGGGCTGTTCTTCTGCCAGCAAAGACCTTGAAAATTAAGGACCTACTCCATACCCCTAAAAGGCATTACCATGGATTTTTCATTGAAATACACACACACACACACACACACACACACACAGATATACAATGATATATATAATAAAATAGTCATATATATATATGTATGTTAATCTATGTCTATTTGGTTGTCTAGTTTATCATCCATCCTGTGACTGCCAATATTTCAATGTATAAATGTAGATGTACTCTAGCTGATACTGTTCTATCCTCTAATGATGGAGTTTACAGCCCAGCCATCACTGTCTATCCTCTGTGCCTCTTATTAATATCCTTCCACAAATTCAACACATTGTATACACATCATGCTAATGGATTCCTTGAGTTAACCTTAAATAACAAGGATACAAATGGAGTAAGTAGCTTGTTTATCAGTTATTCCTTGTGCTGGCTATGTGACCAGCCCAACTTTTTAATCACATTTTATAACATCTGTTTCCCTATTTCTGTGTCATAATTCCTTGTATGTAATCCATCATTTTGGGTCCGTTATAGACATCTATTTTGCCATTTGGACAATATTCAGTATATTAAACCACCTTTTCATCATCAAGGTTTATCAGTTGACTACATTTGGACTCTAATAAGTTGTTTTTATGTATCAATAAACCCATCAGTATAGAATTCCTCATAGGAAATGTATTTATGAAAAGATATATTTTAAGAAAATGAATTTTGCCATCCAGCTTAATTGTTAAGTTTTATGTAATTAACAGCACATATTTCTGTCCAAAAATTCTTTGGAATTCTACTGCATTCCACAGATGTAAAATCACATTATTCCAATATAAAGAAAGTAGAAGGCTACCAGTCTTACTATTTAAACTCCTTTCCCTACAGGTTTGATGGCTTGGTTAGGAACACAAGACATTTTATGGCATAAGAGACCTGGGTTGGTTTAAACATTGTGTTCTGGTTTTTTTTGTGCTGTATATGATGCTTCAGATCAATTACCAACTAAAAAGTAGAGTGTCAGATATGATTAGAATTCCTCCTTTTTGGAAATTCATTTGTTCAGTAAAAATAAATGATGTTGTTTTGCTCTAATAGATTGTTAATATCCTACAAACATAAAAGATTTATTAATGTATGGTTTATTTATATTGTCAAATCATATATATATATATATATGTACATATATATCTATCATTCACATTTTTATTTGGAAAACATTCAAAATAACCATTAAAAAGTAGCCACCATAAATTGGTTGTTTGCATCTCATTGGGAACTTTAATTGTTTTGCACATCAACCAACTCCAGCTTTATTAGATTAAATAAGGAAATGTTGCTAATAATGTGGAGAAAATGTGGAAAATATTTTAATAGAAATTAGGGAGCTGTCAGCCTCTGCTTATCATCTAAAATGTTTCTGGGTGCATAAAAATAAACTTTGATAGCCCGGACTTGAGACACATACTGGTTGTAAGGAACCAACTAAACTAGGTGTTGCTCTACTGTGGTCACTGTATAGCTAGGGTAAGAGAGACTGGTCTCTAGCCATCAGGCAGCTGATGGCACAGTGGATAGTGTGCATCGTGTGGAGTCATTTGAATTCAAATCCTACTTCAGAGACTTGCTTAGGTGTGTGACTCTGGGCAAGTGCCTTAACCTCTCGCTTTGTTTCATTTTCCTCAACTGTAAAATGAGGATAATAAAAATAGATTTTGCCATATCTGTGGATACTAAATCAGGGTACTAAATCACTAAATACTACACTGACATGATAAACAGCTGAGAATAAGGTATTACATGTATTGTTTAGATATAACTTAATGAAAGATAGTTAGATAGATAGATATGTGCATCTCCCTCAGCTCCTTCTGAAACTGCGACTTGGAATTTTTATTTCTTTTGAAGAATTTTAATACTTCATCTCATAATTTCATCATTTGCAGAATTTTCTTTTTTAGGGTTTTTTTTGTGAAATTTTGGACCATAAAAATAAATTAAATATGCCACAAAGCTACTTTTACATGGTGAACTGAACAATGAAATAGAATCTACACCACCAAGGAAATATTTAAAAGCTAGTATTTAACTTGAATCAAGAGAGATTCCTAACATCTAATCTTATATACCTCTTCTATCCGAGTTCTATTCCAATTCAAAAAGCATTTAAATGATATTCATTCAATAAATATTTAATAAATGATTACCATGTACAGTAGTTCTCTGGGGGACACAAATTAATCAATCAGTAGAGCATATATTAAGCCACTCCTATTTGCACAGTGTCTGACACATAGTAGGCACTTAATACATGTTTATTGAATTGAATTGAAAGATAACGTGTGAAGTGCTAAGGATACAAATACAAGAAAGACACTCTCTGTCCTCAGGATCCTAAATAGTTTAAGGTCTAATATGAAGAAGAACAAATAATCTTGATAACCACATGAGAGAGGTCAAACCAAAAGTCTGTATGAGTTCATTTTTAGATTTCTTCATCTTCAAAGTTCACTTGTAAATATCTTCTTCTGGGTTTGTTTATCAAAGGCAGAAATTCAGTATCTAGTATTTTCTCCACATTTGGAGATTTAGAGTCTGCTACTCTGTTTACTAAATCAAAACAGAACAACAACAACAACAACAACAAAAATCTTTTCTGTCAAAAAGCCTATTTCTGGGAAGACTATAGATATAGATGTAGATATGTGTGTATATCCTTGTGATGCTGATCCAGATGTATTGTGGTATGTTTATTTAAAGATATGAAATCACCATTATTGTAACTTGAATCACTGGTTAATGTCCCAGAGCTAAGGAGGCTAATACTCATCTTTTCTCACTTTAGTTCAGACATTAATGAAGAAGGACTTCTTAATAAGCAAAATGTTAAGATTCATATTTAAGAAGTCAAGAGATATGCTGTCTTAGCTGGTATTATACATTTAAAAAAATTGATCACTAATTTCTGTGAATTATCTGAAGTAATAAGGACAATCTACATTTAAATGGGAGCACTTTTATGTCCATTTACAGTGGCTCTAATTTTGGACTGTTTTTTTTTTAATTTCAGAGAATGAAAGTTTAAAAATCAAAACATGCCTAGAGTTCATAACTGAGTTAGTAAATTGAGGCTGGAAGAGTCTTTATAGAACTTCTGAAGGGGGAAAATTAGGTTCCTCACAAGGAAAATAAAAAATAATTTGCTTGACGTCTAAATTTCAGAAATCGTTCATTCATTTTTCTATGTACAGACACAAAAGTTTGCTGTTGTTTAGTTGATTAATCATGTCTAACTTTTCTTGCCACTTCCTTATCCAGCTCATTTTATAGATGAGATAGACAAAAGCAATTGCACTGAAATGTAAACCTCAAGGGATTCCTACTTGGATCTCATTTTCTTCATTTGCTTGCAGAATGGATGTTTATTCACTGCTGTTGACTTCCATATTATGACAGTTTAAACACACATATACACACACATCTGATTTTTTTTTGTTTTTTGTTTTTTTGGGGAGGCAGAGGAAGTGGGGGGTTGGCCTGTCAGAATAGGGCTATTTTAAAGAAGACTGTCAAATTAAACTGAAATTCAATAAAGCAAGTTATTTGGTATAAAATGAATTCATGTTTAAATTTAAGTGCCTTTTAAAGACAGTTGCCATTATGAAATAGAATCTTAGAGTTGATTTTGTGCTGAGTCCAACAGTATGTTCACTTTCTAGATGCCCACTCTTAACCAAATCAATCTAAGGTTAACATTAAGTTACAGAGTAATCAAACAATTTTCTTGATGGTATTTTACTTGAATATAAATGAATTTTAAAAGAAGCTAAGTTTACAAGAGCAATCATGGTATTGCCATTAAATTATCCGGTTTTTACCAATATGGATACCAATATGGAGCAAAATAATTGAATCTACAAATTTTGAAAAGGCTCTGCTTCTTTGGAAGAGATCCACAGAAATCAATTGCCTTTACTATGAAATTATTTTCTATGGGTTCTCCTTGAGAGATCATTTCATTTCTTCACTGCATGTATATCAAATAATTATTTTGTCTCAGACTTTAATTTCATGGGATCTTAGAAACCATCTAAGGAAATATAATTAAGAATTCAATATGTAAGATATTTCTTTTTTCCTAATCTTTCTGAAAATAACTGATTTTTTTCTTTCCTTTTCTTTTTTTAAAAAATCTGGATATGCTGCAGGTGCATAGGCTCGAGTATTGATGACTGCATCGGCCTGATGGATAGGTATTTGGCGTGTTTACTTCCCATGTTTCTCTCTTCTGGTGCTCCAAGTATGAGCAGGGTGCATGAGTGTGCATGTCCCTGTGAATGGCGAGTGATATTTTCTGTTCTGTAATTGCCTGCAGGTGTAGCGGTCCCTCTAGTCATGACTGCATTTACTACCCATGGACGGGCCATTCCACTTTACCACAACATGCTAGGTAACATCTACCATGTTTCCATTTTGTCTCTCAAATCTTCTCCCAATTACCCTAGATAAGAAATACTAACCAGTTTAGTTTTTATTTTAAGTTAATAATCTATGGATCAAGAAAGATGCATAGGAATATCAACCATTTTCATTGCTATTTATTAACCTCTTCTATCACTATCCAGTAAAATGTCAAAGTCTGGATTAGCAAGGTCACTGGTTAACTTAGAAAGTAAAAACATAGTGACAAGCCAGTTACCTAGAATTTTACTAGAAAATTTAAAGTTCAGAGCTCTGTGATTAGAACCAGGCAAATTCATAATAGAGTAATGTAGAAGTCTATGGTTAAACTGTTCCCTAAATTAATCTTTGATGGATCATAACTAGATCCTGATTAAAAAAAAGAACTAATATAAACTGGTTAGTATGTTTACTAGAAAATGCTCAATAATGGTTTTGTCATCCAGTTTCATTGAATTAGGTGTTTCATAGTAATTTTTACTGTTCAGTAGCAAAACATCTACACATTACAATTTTTCTACCTTGTATTTTTTTTGTGAAAAAGCTGTCATATTTTTAGGCTCTTTGTTCATATCCTTGCTGGGATGATCCTTGATCCTTATAGGAACATTTAACATGGCATTTAACAAATAGAAAACTGGGACTTTTGGTCAGGTCAATTATCTAAGAAGAATAATGAGAAGTGAATTATGCAGATTAAAAGATTTGGTGTTATATGTGCTATTGTGTTATAAACATTTTCCTATGAAGTCAATTGTGAAATCAAAAGTTTTGAAGAATGAATTGACTCCAAGCAAAATGGCCTAAATCTCACCAGCAATTGTTTGCCATGGTCGAAAGCTTAATTGGTGACAACATGCAGTTAAAGTTCCGCTGTGTTTCCCACAGAGAAAACAATATTCCTTAGACACCATCTACTCCATACCCTTGTCTTAAAGCTGGTTAACTCTATCATAACGTGTGACCATATTCCCAAAGGAAAAGAGTATGGATATCGTCATGCAGTAAGAGGAAAAGAAAGATTTAAAAACCATACTTAATGAACAATAGATCACTAATGTTATCCATATATTTTCATGACAGCATATTTGTTGTCATTGTATGTATTAACATTATGGTATTTTTCATACCATGTGTCTGATTATTCAATAATTTCATTAAACTTAGCAAATTATTTGGGTGGTCTGGAGATTATGGTATTTTTATCTAAGTTTAACAATTGATGAGGCTTTTAAGTTTTGATTTATATTTTTATAGATTTTGATCTCAAGGAGCTGATACCACCTGTTCTACTTATTTCAGAATTGTGTTAATTAGGAGAGGAAATCATTTGTTTCCTTCTTTCAGCTGATATGGTTCCTGCCCTAGTTCACACCTTTATCAACCCTTAACTATAATCTTCTAATTGTTCTCATCACCTTCAGTATCTTTCTTTTTCTCCTCTATTCTCCATGCAATTGCCAAAATTAGCATCCTAAGGCATAGGTCACTTTCCTGCTGAAAAATTTTCAGTGGCTCCCAATTATGTTTAGGTCAAAATGCAAACTTCTTACCTAGGATCTTAATGCCCTTCACAGTCAAGTTCCAAACTACTTTTTCAGCTGTTACTTCCTTTTTTTATCATCTGTGTTCTAACCACACTGGCCTCCTTACTATTTCCTGAACTGAATGGTTGATCAGCCTCCTCTGTGCTCTTGCAGGTCATGACTTGGTATGGAAGCCATCTGACCTTCCACCCCTTAGCTTCCTTCGGAGTTCAGTTTAGGTGCTACATCCTTGAAAACTTTTCCAATCTCCCCTTACCCAACTTGGTAGTGCCTTTTTCTCTCCTTAAATTAATTTGTATTTATTTATCTCTGTATGTATTGTTTCTTCTTAAGGGCAGCAACAGTTTTGTTTTTGTCTTTTTATCCACAATGCTTTGAAAATAGAGATTAACAAATGTTGGTTCAATTGATTTGATTTTCTTTTTTATATATTATATGCCAGTATTCAGTATATTTCTTTTTGCCTTTGAACAGAAGCCTGATTTAAAAGCCAGTTTGGTACTTAGATGGGTTTCAGTATGGGTGTAAGAAGGCTAGAGGTGACTGAGGCTTTTTTTGGGGGGCGGGACATTGAAATGAATTAGATGAACATGTTAAGCAAGTTCCTTATCCCATAAACTTAAAATTGCAACAAATTCTTTCTCTCTAGGCCCGTGTAAGTGTGAGCCTATATTAAAGTAGAAGAATAACTTAGAAAATCTCTCAAAAGTCTATTTTTCTCATCCTCTGATGACATTTAAAGCCTTGATTTTAATTAATTCAATGAAACAAATGTTAAACTCCTACTTATAGAAAGAACTATTCTAGGACATAGTGAAAAACAAAATTTAGGGGGAAAATGTCCTTGTCCTAATGGAGGTGACAGTTTATTTAGGGGGGATATGGCAGGTATGCAAATAACTTTTAAATATCATATATGCAGAAGGGCATTAGAAGGTACAAAGTAGTGTCTAAAGGAAAAAAACCGTTTTATAAATGTTCCTTGAAAGAGATTTTTCATTTAAGATTTAAAAAATTAATACAAGAAGCAAAGAGGGGGTGTAAAAGCATTCCAGGAATAGAAGATAGTGTGATTAGATGCACAGAAGTGGTAAAGTATAGGGTGTATTTGGGAGGCAGGGTAATTGAGTTTGGTTAAAATGTTGAGAAATGAGAGATAAGTAGCATAAAATAAGGCAGGAAGGATAGGGTGGCTTCAAATTATAGAAGATCTTTAATGCTAAGCATAACAAATATTACCAATTTTTATTGAACTGAGTCAGAATATTTTATACACACACACACACACACACACACTGTTTATCAATAAGCAGGCAATAGGGAGCTATGGCAGAATTTTAGTGACACAATTTGTTGTTCACTCGTTTCAGTCGTGTTCAGTTCTTAGTGACCGCATTTGGGGTTTTCTTGGCAAAAATACTGGCACAGTTTGCCATTTTCTTCTAGCTCATTTTACACATGAGGAAACTGAGGCAAACAGGTTTAAGTGACTTGTCCATAGTCACACAGCTGGTAAGTGTCTGGGGTCGGATTTGAACTCAGCTCTTCTTAACTCCAGGCATGGCAATTTATCCATTGCATCACTCAGCTGCCCAAGTAACATGATTAGATCTCTGCAAAAGGAAAATGTCTTCTAGCTGTGACAAATGGATTGTAGGTGTGAGGAGCAAGAGTCAAGAAAAAATAATCAGAGGATATTGTATACATTCAGGTAATTTGGCAACAAAGATCTCTAATAATAGGATGACAGTAAGAGTAAAAAGGATAGGAAAAAAGCAGATATGGAGCTAGAAGCAATGGAACTTAGTTATTTAATGGACTTGGTAAGTGAAGAAAGAGAGGAGATAAAGCATTACCAAAGCTTTGAACATGGAACAAAAGGGTGCCACTTAGAGAAATAGTAGTACTAGAATGAGGACTGATTTTGGACAGAAAAGTGATACACTTGATTTGGGATATGGTAGTATGGGTGGGAAATTCAGGCAGAGATGTTCTTTTAGTAATGAAGGTTAGGAGCTGTGAAGTAGTATCTGAAATAGGGAGAGACAGACAGACAGACAGGAGACAGGGGCAGGAGAGAGAGAGAGGAAGAGAGAAAGAGAGAGGGACAGAGAGAGACAGAGAAAGTTGGGAAAATTGCTTGCTTTCCTTACTGGGAATTCCTTTCATGTAATGGGTTAGTCTAGATAATTATGAGGTCCCAACCAATTCTGAAATTCTTGAATTTGTTAGCTTAGGAGGGAAAGTTTAACCCTTAGGAGTAAATGAAATCACTGAATTAAATTAGGCATTAACTTTGAGAAGAAGACACAAAGCAATCTTTGATGACAAGTTAACTTTTATGGAACACACTTTATCTGGACTTTTTTTTTTTAATGCGTCTAGTTTTCTTTTGGTCACTGTAAATTGCACTAAGCATGTCTCTGTGCCACATGTTTAGAGTTTATATTCCCTACTGCCCCATTATGCTGAATTCTGTTGTCTAAATCAGAGAAGAAAGATTGAAGTTTTAAACAAAAACAGGTGAAATGTTTCCAATTTCCTTTATCAGTTTTCATTTTCCAAGCTCTGTTATTCTTTCCCAGTCCTGCAATTCACAAATTGGTTTTACACACTCCATTTAGCTTGCAGGCTGCTGCTAGAACTTCTTCCAGGTAAATTGAATGGGATAGTCTATTTTTTTTAACTTTGGCCCCATCTGGAATATGGTCCTTATTCCCCAAATGACAATTGGTATTTCAGAGAATTCTCCTACTTTCCCTTTTATATTAAATGATCTAAATATCTATTATAACTTTTGGTTAGTTTGACTAGTTGTCAAGATTTTGTATTAATTTATATATTCAGCAAATTTTATTATTTTTTGTTCTAATTTTGATGTAAAATATTCTGACATGCATTTTATCCTACTATTCCTACATGGGCTATAATAGAATAGATTTTCTGTTCTTTGGCAGGTTTATAATCCAGCACTAACACTTACATACATATATTTGCACACATATTATATATACGCACACATATACACACAGAGACAAACACAATTAAGATATTTATACCCAGTTGTGACTATATTCCATAATCAAATTTACATTGCAAAAGTATTTCTTCCTGTTAATTAACATAAGTTTAAATCATAGACTGACCAAGTAATGTAATAATGCAAAATCCATTAAGCTCTTTTGTGCTTTCTGTAATTCAGTACCTTTCATAGAATGTTAATGAACAAAAACCAGTGTTTTATTTCAGCTCTTTGAATTTGAACAGCCTGAAATTTGGAATGATATGGTGATAATTTTCCTAATATTGAACCAGCCTTGTATTCCTGGTATAAGTCCCACTTGGTCATAGTGTATTATCCTTGTGATAAGTTGTTGTAATCTCTTGGCTAATATTTTATTTAAATTTTTTGCATCTATATTCATTAGAGAAATTGGTCCAT